TCTGCCAATCCCCACTTGCTTTATATCTAAAATCTGCCAATCCCCACTTGCTTTATATCTAAAATCTGCCAATCCCCACTTGCTTTATATCTGCACACAGCAATCAGATCAGAAATTTTTTCTGTTTTTTCAATCTTCAACATTGTATCAAGACTGCGTGGAATTTTTTAAAACTTTTATCAATTCAGATGGTTTCTGAATTCAGACAGAATATGTGATTTATATATATGTATATAATAATAATAATTTGGGTTGGATACAAGAACCTTTACAAATTTTATTCTCATTTTTCAGACCTTTTCAAATTAGTTAAACCCTACTGTGTCTTTATTACAGATCCAATTCCTAGCTATTTAGTATATTTAACAATTATTTTCTAAAGACGAAGTGAATATTTACCGAGACCTGAGTCTTCGAGCAGCGAGGTAAATATTCTCCGATATTCACTGAGGMTGAGGCAAATAATTGTTTTAATATAAATACACAGGTGATTCTTTCAAAARAGAGAAAAAAAGAATTTTTTTCCAGTAACAGCAACAAAGCAGTTGGCCACCATTTTAGATTATCGCTGGAGGTGATTATCGTGTGATAGTGTGAGTTTCTTGACCAATCAGCACCAAGATTTTCAATAATCACCTGTGTATTTATACTGAATACAGATATTATTTACCTGAGGGTCCCATAGTTCACTTGCCACACCCAAGTCCTTACAGCATCTCATTAAAGCATTAGACTTGGCAGCTTCCATGGCCTTGCCATAGACCATGTTCCCTGACGAATAAAACGTATGCTCTCCAGCGGCCTGTGATACGTATCGACCAAAGCAGAATAGTGCATATTCACGGACAATTAACTGACTGTTATCTTTGTCACTCTAAAAGAGAAAATATTATTTCATTTAGACAACTACTTCATTTCATGGAGTGCGGTTTGAGAAAAATACATTCAAATGACTCAAAAATATAAAGGTATAATAGCTCTGAGGTCCAGTGTTTGAATYCCAATCACCCCATGTGAGCTGAGTTGGTTGGTTCTCTTTCTGACTCYGAGGGTTTCTCCGGTGTCCTCCGGTTTTTCCTCCCTCCTCTCAAATCAACTGTAACTAATTCAAACTGGCTAGAGCTGTGCTCCAAGGTCACATGGACTGTATAGTTAAGCTGCACCACTGGTGTACTTGCACTGTTTTTTTCACAAATACAATAGTAYACTCAAGCCAGATACAGTACCCTTACGTCCTGAAAATTCTCTCCCAACTAGTACCCCATTCACTAGATAAACACTAAAGGCTCACTTTTGCAAAAAGAGAGAGGAAGAATGAGGGGTGGAAAGAGAGAGATGGRGATAGAGGAAAGGAGAGAGTGAGAGAATGATACCTGAAACTGTAGGGAGTCACCCCTGGGTACTAGTGCCCAGCCTCCTGGTCCAAAAGCATGGTTCAGTATTCTTCTGTATTTGATTTCTGGTAAATAAATGAGTCCTGAAAGAAGATAAATGAATGAACAAATGAATGAA